TTTCATCCTGACTGTGCTTGGCTGTATTTACTCAGGGTGAGTTTGATGTTACCACCTGACTGATCATGCATCTGGTGGGTTCTTCTACCTCCTCGAGAATCACCGCTTCGGAACGGGTGTTTTTCCAGCATTTTAACTCCCCGAAATGGTTCTCCCTGGGGCTTGACGGTTGCAGGTGTTCAGGGGGCAGGAGGCTGTGGAGGTTCATTGTCAGAACAGCATCGAGGTCCCCTCGGGCTCGACGGCGGGTTGGAAAAACGCAGGGTACAATGTTCAAAAGGGTTTGCCACGGAGGAGCCTCAGCCTTGCAAGCACGGAGGGTGTCAAACCGGGAGGTGCAAACAGTCTGCTGGAGCCTGGTTCCTCGCTTGCTAAATGCATTTGAAACTTTTATCCGAAATCTGGGCTCTGCAGTAAAACAAAAATCTGATTATTTGAGGTTGATGGGCAGCATATGCTAAGTTGTGCTTTGGGAGGCAGGCTGTGAAGACCAGCTCGCTGAGGTGTTATAATATTATTGTTATAATGATATATTGTTATTGTAACAATAATTATAAAGTTTTCAGAAGTGGTCAGAAACACAAGGTTGGCAAGCATGCCCTATCTGAGCGTCTGCCAGAGTCGATGCGCCCCATTTTTATCATCCAGCATTGAAAGATGACGCTTACCTAGATAACTGGGATGATTTCTTAAATGATCCCTGCCAACATTTGCAGCCCAGCTGAGGTTTCACACCTGCAAAGAGTTGCCCTGTGTCTCACCTGTCAGCGCCGCTGCTTTGCTGCAGCGAAGCGATCGCAGGCATCTTATTGTGGGACAAACACTCAGATCTCGGCGAGGCTGTGAAACCTGTAAAAAAAAAACAAACAAAACACTATGATTTTGGGCCAGCAGCTCTTATACAGCATTTCCTTTTGGCTAAAGCCTGTCTCCCAGAATTTTCACCAGACTCTTCATTACAATTGGCAAGAAAAAATGGGTAAGGGTGAACAGTTCTGGCTGCTTTCTTTCCCTTTTAATAGTCTTATTCTGGAGAAGCAGAGTGGGAGAGGACCGTGTGCTGGCAGACCTTTTTGTATTTTACGTCATGGGCTGTTGAAAGAGTTCTCAGACATATATAACTTCCCTTCCGCGGGATTTAAGGTTATATCCCACCACCTATAGACGTATGGCGGGTTGGATAATCCTCCTCTCATCACCAGAGAATGCAGTGCGCTCGGTGGCTTTTTGTAGCCAACAAAAATCTTTTTGTTTTTCTTCCCTCCCGCTGTTTCCCAAGCAGCAAGTTTGCTAACAGGCATCGTCTCGGAAAGGGGGAGAGCCCGCTCCAAAATATGGGCTCTCAGGCAAAGATGAACGGCCAAGGTGAAATGAAGCGTCTGGGAAACAGCGGGCTGCCAGTGGCAATTGCAACCCGATTGTACAAAACAGCCACACGATTTTGTTGAGCTTTGTTTTAAAGGAAGTTAAGGAAGTGGATGAGAGCCACGGGGCAAAGTTCAGAAACAAAAAAGTGCAGTTCTCGGCCCGAAGGTGATCTCATAAAGATAACAAAGCGCAGTATTTCTCCGCCTCTGAAAAGCTGGCTCGACAAAAACCTGCAGTCTGTTCCACGTCATATTGCATATACGTAGTGACTTTACTTGTGGTGGTTTGTCTACTCTAGAAACTGGATGGCTTCTGCGGTGAGCCTGGGTAAAGAAACAGTGTTGGAAGATGGAATGCCTCCTGCAAAACAGCCCAGGTAAATTTAATTATACTCCAGTGAATTTCTTCTAATAAGAGCTTTTTCCATAACCTTGCATCGTTCTCTAAAGAGCATGACACTTGGCACCAAGCCCCAGGAGTTGTTTCGGTCGCTGTCTTTAGCCGTGCCCTGTGTTTTCCTGCAGTTCGTGGAACTTAATGCCCAGAATGTACTTCGCTGCTGGTTTTTTTTTGGTTTTTTTTTTTAAACCCCTGAGCCAGCATGCACAGAAAGCTGGTTTTTACAGTGCTGTCTCCAGGGTTTTAGCTCAGGTCCTGTCTGCGCGTAAGGTCACGTCAGGTGCATTGGTCGTGCTTCTTCCCTTGAGTTGGACGGCAGTTGCCGGGAGGACGGGCAGTTACTCAAATTAGTATGATTTTGCTGCATGTAAAGCCTAAATAATTCTACTCCTCAGGCTCCCCATACTAATAAGTAGGTCGTCTTACAGTTCTCCAAGTGGGGACCTGAGTGTGATGCTAATTTGGGGCACAGCCATGCTTCTTTCCATCCAGGGTTGATACTGTGGGTGCTATGATAGCACAGGTTCAGAAATTAAGGCATCGCCATCTGCGAACGAGCAGCTAATTCACCTAGGGAGTCATCTTCCACTAATCTGCTTTATTTACGAGTTATGGAGGGCTGGAGAGTAGTTTCTGGGAGGGAACCCTGCTCTCGAGGTTGATCCAGTGCCTGTGGAATGAGCAGAAAAGAGGCTGGGAGGTTATTTTTTCCGTGTTCAGGATATCAGGGTAGAAACAAGTGTATTTATTGGCATGGGAAGAGAGTGCCTCTTGCAGAGATGTCACCTAGGATGTTAAGACTTAGGTATTTGTTATTATTTTGGATTTCAGTCCCTAGGTTTCTGGTTGTGTTTTTATACTAGCTCATTAGCATGAATACTGATTTATTCTTTGCAGGTGAGGCTTGCAGACCCAAAATTAAAACCCTTTTATTGCCACTAACAGTGAAGACCTCCTCAAGAAAAGGATTATCTCGCCTGTTTTTGTAGGCAGTAGCGGATGGAAGGCAAAAGCCCCATCTGTGTGGTGTCGGTTTCTTTTCCCCTTCTCGCTAAATATCACGTTTGCAGATAAAATAACATTCCTGCACCAGGCGCAGTCACGGTTGTGTTTATGTCCCATGTGGGGGTCTCGGTATGTAAAGAGTATGTATGTGTCTCTCCATCCATTGATAACGTGTTCCATATTGCCCAGCGCACCTTTTCTGCTGTCTCTAGCCTTTCTTCCAGGTAACTATTATTAACAAGACCTCCCTTATTCCAAATTTTAAATACATTAGCTTTGCTTCAGAAGTATTCCGGGGCGGTATTGACTTCCCTAGTAACCGTCTCGGTAGCGGACTCGACTGCCAAATACGTTGTAATTACAAACCTTGTAATTGTGGGCATTTGTGATGTTGATCTGTGGAGCTACGTGCTGTCTTTAAGGGGATACCGAGCTGCTCCTCTCATCCTCTGTTTATCGGAGGACCCTGATGGATGTCTTGACTCAAAATTTAGGCAGAGGGTACCTCCCTTGTCCTCGGTCTGCATGTTCCACGAGCCGAGGCATCCTTCTAGCTATGATGGCACCAGCTGTGCTTCTTTCTCCTCTTGCAGGAAGCTGTTGCCAAGCCTCAAAACCAAGAAGCCTCAGGAACTTGTGTTGGTGATTGGGACAGGAGTCAGTGCAGCAGTTGCTCCCCAGGTTCCAGCGCTGAAATCTTGGAAGGGGTTAATCCAGGCCCTCCTGGATGCTGCTATTGACTTTGATCTCCTGGAAGATGAAGAGAGTAAAAGGTTTCAAAAGTGTCTCCATGAAGACAAGAACTTCATTCACGTTGCCCACGACCTTATCCAGAAGCTGTCTCCGGTGAGTGTGCTTGTAGCACTGTCCGTAAATATTCGGTACCGTGCCCTGGGCATAGAATTTGGCTTTTGGAAATAGCCAAATTTGGTTGTCCGGCATGCCCCCATCTCCCAACGGTTCCTTTAGCCACAAGGAACCACAAGTGCAGTTACTGTGCCGGGTTCCTGAGACTCTGCCGTGGACACCAGCTTTTGGGTATTTCACTCAGAGCGTGCTGGGGCGGGGGGAGTACCCACCTCAGTGCAGGACGTATGTTTGCCTTGCAAGGACCTATAGCTTTGCGGAGGTCTTGGAGAAATATGTGGGTAGTTTTTTCATCGAGTCGTTTGGCATGAAGCATTAAGAGGAAGGAGGCTCTGATCTTAATCTGTCTCCCCTTCTCAGCACACAAGCAATGTTCGCTCAACCTTTTTCAAAGACTGTTTATACGAGGTGTTTGATGACCTGGAGTCTAAAATGGAAGATTCTGGGAAGCAGCTGCTTCAGTCTGTGCTTCACTTAATGGAAAACGGGGCACTTGTCTTAACCACAAACTTTGATAACCTGCTGGAACTGTACGCAGCACACCAGGGGAAGCATCTGGAGTCTCTTGACCTCACTGATGAAAAGAAGGTAAACGCTGATGATTTTTTTTTTTTTTTTTTTTTTTTTGTCAGGGCTGAGCTGGGACAGCGCAGGACAGTGGCGGCTGCAGGATCCCGCTTACTGTTCGTAGTAGTTTGAATGATGTTAGGCAAACTCCTAGCAGAGGCTCTGACCATTTGGGGCAGTGAGCAGAGGAATGAAGACGAATGCTCGTTTCTGAAATGCTGTGCTTGCTGGCTGACATCCATTGCTCAGGAGGAGCCCTTAAGCCTGGTATTTCTTTGATCTCTGTCCTTGACACTTCTAGCTTGGCCTTGCTGAAGTACCGCAAGCCTCTCTTCCACATAAGGCTCGGGTTGATGTTTCTAACCAACACGGGAAACGCCATGTGAGACATGAGCTGACCTTTTTATTTTTAGAACCTGCTGCGGAGTGCTTTTTGTGACAGAGTGTTTTTGGGGCTGTAGCCTTCAAGGCTTCCCTCTTGCCCCATGTCCTCTTTCTGAAGTGACTGGATGGCTCCTGCTGGGTTACTCGCGTACTCCGGCTTCTTCTGCCATGCTCTGGGATTCGTAGCCGCTCGCTTCACGCAAGCTTCCCTCCTTCTCCCCCAGTCAGGCAGAAAATCAGACTGTGAAACCCTGAGCTCTTCGCCACCTGCCCACCTCATCTTTCCATCGTGGGTTTTAGTGGTGGAGAGCATCTTGTCCTTCTGTTTGCTCATTAAACACATGCCACCTGTAGGTGCTGGGCAGTACTCGGGCTCTTTCCATTCTGACTCATTTCTGTGCTTCACGTTTCCTGCGTGACCTCTTAATCTACATGGCTGGAAGTACTTACAGTGTTACAAATAAGCATTCTAATTATTGCAAGCTTAAACGAGCTAAGGTCTGCAGGAGTAAACCGAGAGCCTCGGAAGTGGCTTTCTGAAATGAAGGTCAGCCTGTTGAGCTCCCTCAGAGCTTCTCAGAGCCTGGAAGGGCCAAGAAATAAAACTTTGTAGGCTTGAGAAACATGCTGACATAGAATTTATAGAGTTTTTCCCCTTTTTCTGCTGAGTCCAGTGTATTCATTCGGTCCCTTCCCATCGCATTCACTGTTCAGCTGAAGTGTTGACCCAAACAAGCGCCGTGGGCTGCGATGTAGAGGCTGATTGACTCGTGACCTCTTGAGGAGATGAGATGAGGAAGAAGCTGCCTCTTTGAAACGCTTCCCCAAAACCGGTATTTTTAACAGCGCTGTGGAAGCTAACGTGATGCGCTGGCTAACGTTTCTGGAGGGTTTTCTTTTGCACAGGTGCTGGAGTGGGCGCAAGAGAAGAGGAAGCTTAGCGTCCTGCATATCCACGGCATTTACACCAACCCCAGCGGCATAGTCCTCCACCTGGCCGGCTACCAGAACGTGCTGCGCAACACGCAGGTCATGGTGAGGCAGCCCTCCCTTCTCTCCGTGGGGCATACTTTGGCATCCTATACGTCGTGTATATACATCTCCCACTTCCCTGGCCAGCCAGTGTGTTAACCAGGCATAGACTCAGCTGAGTTTAAAGAATGAGCTTCACACAGGGTGGTGGGAAAGTCCTTAGTTTTGTGAACTAGGAGGGATTACTGAAGGATGGCGCTCCTGCAGAGCCTCATCAGTGATAAGACAGATGCTGTCGGGTGTGCCTTGTGAAGATAAAGCTTGCCTTGACTAAGAACATCTTTCCCTTTTTTTAAAGCGAGAGATTCAGAAGCTGTACGAGAATAAGTCATTCCTGTTCTTGGGCTGTGGTGGGACTGTTGATGACACCACGTTTCAGGCCCTGTTTTTAGAGGCTGTCAAGCACAAGTCAGACCTGGAGCACTTCATGCTCGTACGGAGGGGAGATGTGGATGAGTTCAAGAAGCTCCGTGAGAACATGCTGGACAAAGGGATTAAAGTGATTTCCTACGGAGATGAATACGCAGATTTGCCTGAGTACTTTGAGAGGCTGACGAGCGAGATCACCATGCAGGGTTGAACAGGTACAGGGGTTAGGGGCTGTGCGGGATGGCTGGCTGCGTGCATCCGCCATCTCCGCACTTAACCTCGGGGATCCTGTCGTATGACAGCGCAGTTCTTGGCTGTCACCGTGGACTTTGGAGTGTAGACAGTGTTAATAGCCCCTCTTCTCTATGCTATGTTATTCCTTAAGCGGGTTTTTTTTTTTGCCCCAAAAAATTGTCTGCAAGTGTAGCTGGGTTTGGGAGTTACTTTTATGAAATCGCTGTCTGTTTTTGTAGTTTAAACAGCTCTGCTGCTTTTCACACACGCAAATGTTATTTTTCACGTACAGCTGCAGTTGTTTATTCCCTTTCTAGTGAAAGGGCATTTCAGTTTCCCTGACCTTCGTGCTACTCAGCCTGAGCTAATGCTTTCAAATCCAAGAAATCTCACTAATAAATCATGAAAATGGGGAAAAGAAGTGAGTTTGCTAGCCAGAGCCTCGCTGGCCTGTGTTCTGAGGGTAAAACCCAGCTGGGAAAGCCTGTAGCGTGAAACTACTGCACTTGCTGCTCATGCAGGGACTCCCCACATCTGTGCAGTCCTTTCGGGCTTGCTTTTCCACCAGGTCATTGCTCTTTGCTCTCTCCTAGATGCGCCTAAGGAGGGAAAACAGCTGAACAGCTCTGCTGCTGCCCATTCTCTCCGAGCTGAGAGAAGCTTCACCCTTTCTAGCCCCTTTGTGACTTCCCAGGGTGTCCAGCGGCCTCTCGGGGAGGCTTTACAAAGCCTTTCCCGCAGGATGCAGCACTCGAGCATCAGCCTCGCCCCGGGACCCGTGCCACGGCGGGGAACTCCCTAGGACAGGCCTAAGCCAGAGCCAGCAGCTCCTAGGGAGGCCTGTGTCAGTTTTAAGGCCAGTCTAGAGGAGGAGCAAAGCCCACGGCTGTGGAGCTGCTGCCCCCACACACCGAACTGGGACATTTTGGGCACAGAACCGAGGCCAGAGCAGAGCCTCTTCGGACAGGCACTCAGTTTAACATAATAATTGTCTTTTTATTGAGGTTGTGCGCGCCTGGGGAAGCTGCAACCTCTTCTTAATTTCATTTGTGCTTTTGTATTCTATGCTTTCAATGAAAAAATCAAACTTAAGCAGTTTTTTATTTTTACTTGAAGCTCTAGTTTTCTAGTCCTGTCTTTATACTGTACAATATTTTGTAAGTTGAAGCTTGTATTAAAGGCCTGTTCACTTAATTTTTGGCTGGTTTGTGATTTACAGGCCCTCTCAAACACCTCGCACAGGCAGGAATTTGTCTCCCCCACCCGAGGCAAGTTATTTATACACAGAGAACAAATTATGAAGTTTATTTTATATAAATTAAGTCTCTTAGCAGACAGCATTCAATTTATTGCACTATAGCACATCTGCAATACAGAGCTACAAGACATCGTAAGAGAGTTTTGTATTATTCAGTGTAGCACTTCAGACCGGGATCAAGAGGCACTCGAAGGGGGAGGAGAAAGGGTGCAGGAAAGCAGCAAGCAGCCACTGTTATCTTCCAGTATTAATTTTCTTTTTTTTTTTTTTTCCCTTTTTACTAGCAAACAATACTGAGGCCAGCAGGCAGGAGACAGGCAGGGGCACACTGCCTTCACTCTCCAACCATGATCAGCACTATTGGACCAAGCTGTCACAGCTCTCCAGCTCCTGCCCAAATACATGGGGTCGTGGGTACCCTGCTCCAGAATCCCAGTGACGACAGAAACAGGGACCGTAAGGCAGTTTAGCATCTCTCCTCCAGCCCAGCGCAGGCTGTGTCACCATTTTTGGTTTATCAGTTTCAGTGGAACTGCCGCTAGCAGCAACATTAACAGCCAGATTTTCTAAGCAGCAGCTATCCTGCTCACCCCTGACAAAAGTTCATCCTGTGACCTCCCTAAGCTGGTCTAAAAATCAAAAGCAGCTTAAAAAAAAAAAAAAAAAAAAAAGGACTGCTTCAGAGCCCCCAAAAAGCACAGCAGGTCCTTGCGCTGCCCACCCCCCCGTGCAGCACGAACAATACAAAGCTCTGGATTCAGCCTCCCCGCGAAGGAGCCTGCGTCACTTAAAAACAAAATGAAGGAATCCAGAAGAAGGGCTTTTGCTGGATAAAAGGGGTTGTATCCAGAAAAAACAAAAACGTACCCCTCATGCCGGTATCCCTTCATTCTGTTCTGCACTACACGGGAAAGACTATTCGGTAACACGGTAAAGCATGTTCTTCTCAGACATCTGCAAACAGCGATTTGGTGGTTTTTTTTTTTTCATTTTAGGCCTTCATGAGCGCTGCGACCACAGCCTTGGCATTAAGGCTTCGCAGATCACAGTAAGTTTGTCCGGTACCGACGAAAACGATGGGCTTGCTCGTGATGTAGGTCATGGAGATGGCGGCGCCGACCTGCCGAGGACAACAAGCACCGTTAGCCTGCAAATCCAGTGCTACCCCCTCAGCATCCGGCACGGAAGAACTCCATGTTTGACAATTCCCATCTTTCCCACTCCGGTCACCAGCAGGAAGCTCCATGTGGAGTCATCTCAACGGCCTCCTTACCTTGTCATCGATGGTATCAAATTTGGTGAGGACAATTCCGTCGATGAGGCGCGGTGTCTGGGCCATGGAGTGATCAGCCAGGGCCTTGTTGAACTTGACCTGAAGGAGAGAATGGATCCCAGAAATACCTTTGTGGTGCTACCACTGTCCAAATCTCGGATAAAACCTACAGAAGGGTTTGGGTTTGTTTTTTTTTTCCCCTCCTCAATCTTTCAGGAAACAAAGCCTCAACACTTACCAGCTGATCCACAGCTTCATTTCCCACCAGTGCTTCCCCAACAAACAGGACCAGGTCAGGAGCATTGACGGCGATGAGTTTGGCCAGCGCTGTCATCAAGGGAGCATTGTCCTGCATGCGGCCTGCCGTGTCCACCAGGACCACATCAAAGCCCTGGTTCCGAGCTGGGGAGACAAGGAGGCAGCATTAAGCAGGATGTTCCCCCAAAACAGCATCTCCCGCTACCAGTTTTCCACCTACCGTAGGAGATGGCCTCCATGGCAATCCCGGCGGCGTCCTTGCCGTAGCCCTTCTCGTAGAGCTGCACCATCGTTCGCCCACCGTGGCTCTCTGGAGGGTGCAGGGCGTTGAGGCGACGGGTGTGGGTGCGGAGCTGCTCCACCGCTCCTGCGCGGAAGGTATCACAAGCGGCAATGAGGACGCTGAAACCATTCTCAATGAGCCAGAACGAGATCTGCAGGTGACAACGGATCAAAAAAGAAAATCCCGTTGGTGGCCACAGTTTCGCCTCATCACCCCAGTCCCAGAGAGCCAGGAGGATCCTGTCCTACCTTGGCCAGGTTGGTGGACTTCCCAACACCATTGACACCACAGAAAGTGACCACGTAGGGTCGGCGATGGCGCTGGGCATCCATGACATCGCGGAGGACGTCCACGCGGCGCTGGGGCTGCAGGATCTGCACGAGAGCCTCCTGCAGGGCCTGCTTCACCGTCGAGGTCACCGCTGGGAAGGAAGAAATGATGGAAAGAGAACTTGTCACACCTGAGGAATGTTCCTGAGCCCCAAACCACAAGCAAGGAGGCCACACAGCCACTTACTGGTGAACGTTCCCATCACCTTCCCCTCCAGTTTTTTAGCCACCGATTCACAGAGCTGCACTGCAATCTCAGCTGCCACGTTTTTTGCTTTGAGAAAGAAATAGAGAGAGGGGAGTTAGTGCTGCTGAGAAAGTCACAACACGCCAGGAAAGATGGAGTCAGTCCGCAGGACCCCCACCAGACTAGACCCTTGCCCCACTTTTGAGGGCTCCTCAGAAGGCGAGACAGGAACCCACCACGGTTCCAGTGGGGAAAAAAAGTCTCAAACCGTGGGTGCTACCCCTCACTGTGTCCCACCCGATGAAGCAGAGGGAACCACCTCAAACTAACCCACTCACAGCAGATCCAGACATACCGATCAAGTGATCCTTCATCTTCTCCAGTACGGGGTCCATGTCCTCTCTCGTCAAGCTCTTGGAGCCTACCAGGCCTTTCAGCATGCCAAACATGCCCCCCAGGCCACCCTTCTTTGCGCTGTGGAGAAGCGGAGGAATTACCTTTAGGAACAAGGAGCAAGTTGCATAGGGCACGCAACGGCCAGATGCAAGAAGAGCCCAGCACGCAGCTGGCAAACATATCAATTTGTCCCTACTGCAGTACTGGTTAGGCTGGAAGAGGAGTTACAGGAGAGAAATCAAGAAGCGTGTGACAAGCAGGGGCTGCAGGAGCCTCTACCTGGGTTTTGAAGGGTTCTGAATAATCTTCTCGTCTTCAGCTTCGTCATCGCTCTCATACTCAAGGTCGTAGAGACGGCCGGGCTCCCGATTTCTATCTCCCAGGGCCTGCGAGGTAAAGAAAAGAGGCACCCTGAAAAATCAGTACCCACTTACCATCATCTCCCCCTGCCCGCTTTCGCCCTCACAGGCAGCGACAACAGCTATCGTCAGCAGCAGAAGCAGCTCTGCAGAGATCTTTGCCACGACGGCTCAGAGAGTTGACCCCATTTAGCGCCGTTTACAGCTGCTGCAGCTGGAGAAAATATTTTTTTAGGCAGCAGTTTTATGGGCTGGGCACTGCGATCCCCATTTCTCATACCTTCTCAGCCAGCCGTGGAGATCAGGCTGGGCTTGTAACGCCCAGCTGATCCCAGAACAAAGCACTAAACCGGACATAGTGACCTGATTTTTTTCCTTACTGTATCAGGGTCAAATTCCTCCACGGGACAAGCCTCAGCACTTCCATTGGTAGCGGAGTTACTGTAATCAAGTACTTTGGCATTAGAGTTCCCCAGATCCCACACTCGGGGTTTCTTTCCCTTCTCTTTCTGTGCATCAGGCTTTGGAGATTTGCTGAAATAAAAAGACCAAAAAACAAGTTTTGTTCAGTGCAAAGAAGCAACAGCAATCGCTCCCTCAGAAGATGTGAAAGTTAAAAGCCTGGATTACTCAAAAAGGCAGAAATTAAAACTAAACCTGGCCGATTCAGTCTCCAGAATTTATTTATCTGAACTTTAACCCTGTATCAGAACACTTTACCTCGAGCCAGGCATCGATGCACTGCTGCCCTTTGCTCACAGCGGGAAAGCCTTGCTAAAAAGAGGTCTGCACCTCTCCCAGGCACACGCTGGGTTTCTGGGTCTCCCAGGGAAAGGATCAGGCTCCTATTACCCCTCCAGGACCCCCATCGTGCCCTCTCCCAGTCTTTCCAGCAAGCAGGGAAAGAAGGAAAAGGGAAATAAGGTCCAGGAAAGCAAGGTCTGACTTCCAGGGGTCATGGAACGAAGGAGAGACTCAGCCACGGCCAAGGGACACCAGGAAGAGCTGGTTTGAAGCATGGGTAGACTGACCCTGTCCTGGTTACCCACCTGGACTTCTCCCCTGCTTTCATGTGTCTCTTGAAGAATTCCTCCCGGTTCTTTTGCAGGATTTCATCCTTGGTCAGTTCCTCCTTGTCCCCGGCGGCGGAGGGCTGCTTGTCACCCGCCGATGCTTTACCGGGTGCTGCGACAGCTTCAGCTCCTGACGGAAAGAGCCCCGACACAAGCTCAGACCAGCGTCTGGGTGCTACGAGAAGACTGGGAAAGCGCAAGCTGGGACACAGAGCTCTGGAATATTTATTTCCACCTCCCCCCATACATCTTTTCCATCAACTCACCCTCTTTTTTGGAACTTTTGTTGTTCTTGTTCTTTACTTTCTCCTTTGGTTTCTCCCCTCGGGTTTTTATCATACACTTGACAGTCTTCTGGGACTTGAGAGACTGCTCAAACGTCTTCATTACCGTGGGAGCTCGGACTTTACTGCTCTCCTCTGCATCCCTGTGGGGAGGTGGTCCGTTAGCCTGAATTTCAGCTCTACCCTCTCCCCACATCCCCCCCATCTCTCTCTTCCTCTAAATGGAAACTTGAGAGGAAAAAAAATTAAAATAAAAATCAGGCTGTACTACCGGAGGAGACGCATGAAGTCGTCTTTAAAATCAAAGGTGCCGTTTAGGAGGCCCAGAGTGCCTTTCTGCTGGAATTCATTGCGATACTTGTCTCTGAACTCCTTATGAACGTCATCTATCAACTTATCGACGTAGGTTAGAGTCAGGATCTTCTGAAACCCCACCTGCAAAGCAGCACAGTGAAAAAAAATGTTGCTCTTTCACCTAATTTAATTGTAGCACGTAGCTGGCAAGGAAGCGAACGCCTCTCCGTTTAATGCGCTGTTCTTTAATTTCAGCAGGCTTCAGGCTACATTTTCTAGTCTGACATCCCAAGCTCTCAAAAAGGAAAAAAAAAAGGCACAGCTGAGAGCTTCGCTTTAAAAGGTGACACCAATAAAAGTGGGGTGACTGGTTTCACGGCAATAAAGACACATAGCGGAAAACCAAAAAGCTTTTTGCTTATCTTTAAGCAGGCAACAAAAGTTGCGTGGATTTAGAGAGATAAGGTATGGGGAGACTGAAAGGGAAAGCATTAAAACGTTCCCTAAAGTAAAGGGGATGACACATTTTTGGCTTTATTAAAATACATCTGGTCAAAGTAAAAAGTTTTATTGGGATGTAGCAGCCCGGAAAGCTCCTATTTGGGGTTTAATAGGTTTTAATCTTATCGCAGATGATTAAAATAAGCTGCTACCGCAGTGGTGTATAACCAAGAGACACCCACATCCACCCACCAAGTCGACCGAGCTCTCCCGGTAGGAAGAGCCTGGCTACGCCAGGATCACCGCTTGACCCCCCTGAGACTCTTCCGGAGCCGGGAACAACAAAACCCACATCATACCCCCTC